GCACTCCACCAGAGGGGTTATTGAGCACTCCACCAGAGGGGTTATTGAGCACTCCATCAGAGGGAATATTGAGCACTCCACCACAGAGGGGGAATTGAGCACTCCACCACAGAGGGTGTATTGAGCACTCCACCATAGAGGTATTGAGCACTTCACCATAGACCGGGTATTGTGCAATCCTTCACAGAGGGGGTATTGAGCACTCCACCACAGAGAGGGTATTGAGCACTCCACCATAGAGGGGGTATTGAGCACTCCACCATAGAGGGGGTATTGAGCACTCCACCATAGAGGAGATATTGAGCACTCCACCATAGACGGGATATTGTGCAATCCACCACAGAGGGGTATTGAGCACACCACCATAGACGGGGGTATTGAGCACTCCACTATAGAGGGGGTATTGAGCACTCCACCATAGAGGTGGTATTAAGCACCTCACCATAGAGGGGGTATTGAGCACCTCACCACAGAGGGGGTATTGAGCACTCCATCATAGAGTGTTGAGCACTTCACCTCAGGGGGGATATTGAGCACCATCATAGAGGGTATTGAGCACCTCACCGCAGAAAGGGTATTGAACACCTCACCACATGGGGGTTATTGAGCACCTCGCCACAGAGGGGGTATTTAGCGCTCCACCATAGAGGGGGTATTGAGCACTCCACCATAGAGGGGGTATTGAGCACTCCACCATAGAGGGGTTATTGAGCACTCCACCATAGAGGGGTTATTGAGCACTCCACCATAGAGGGGTTATTGAGCACTCCACCATAGAGGAGGTATTAAGCACTCCACCATAGAGGGGGTATTGAGCACTCCACCATAGAGGGGTTATTGAGCACTCCACCATAGAGGGGTTATTGAGCACTCCACCATAGAGGGGTTATTGAGCACTCCACCATAGAGGGGGGTATTAAGCACTCCACCATAGAGGAGGTATTAAGCACTCCACCATAGAGGGGGTATTGAGCACTCCACCATAGAGGGGTTATTGAGCACTCCACCATAGAGGGGTTATTGAGCACTCCACCATAGAGGGGTTATTGAGCACTCCACCATAGAGGAGGTATTAAGCACTCCACCATAGAGGGGTTATTGAGCACTCCACCATAGAGGGGGGTATTAAGCACTCCACCATAGAGGAGGTATTAAGCACTCCACCATAGAGGGGGTATTGAGCACTCCACCATAGAGGAGGTATTAAGCACTCCACCATAGAGGGGGTATTGAGCACTCCACCATAGAGGGGGTATTGAGCACTCCACCATAGAGGGGACATCAACACAATCTCGTAGACTTGAGACAAAGTGAAATTCACAGCAGTTGCTCCATCTATCATCATTCTATTATGCAGGAAGACCCGCACGTCTATGGCAGAATAGAACCAGTGAAGAGCAGAGGTGCCATAGGCACAATCAGAGAACACTGTATAAACATCAGAGGTCCACGGTTGTTCAACGTCCTCCCAGCAAGCATAAGAAATATTGCCGGAACAACCGTAGACATCAAGAGGAAACTAGATTTATTCCTCCAAGGAGTGCCGGACCAACCAGGCTGTGGTGGGTATGTGGGCCTGCGGGCCGCTCCAAGCAACAGCCTGGTGGACCAAACTCTCACAAGTCAAGCCTGGCCTCGGGCCGGGCTTGGGGAGTAGAAGAACTCCCAGAACCCCATCAACCAGGGTCATCCAATAAGGTTAGCAGACTTCTAGATGTTACCACTGCTAGGCTTAGGCTCGGCTACAAGTACCTCTGGCAGTTTGTAACATCTGCTGATGTAGACTTGACTAAATGTAAACTCTGTCAGCAGAACTGTTCACATACTTTGCGTCATTATATAATGGAATGTGAAAAAATCGCGGAATTTAGAGATAACACCATCAAAGAAGTCCAAGATGTGTGTAAGTACTTCATTCATAATGATGTACTGCCGAGAATCCTAGCGAAGTATCCCAATTTTCTTCACTGTAGGTAATGCATGCATGACTGTAAAGCTGCCGCCCAGTTGGGTGGGTGTGGAGCACATGACTGTACAGCTGCCGCCCAGTTGGGTGGGTGTGGAGCACATGACTGTACAGCTGCCGCCCAGTTGGGTGGGTGTGGAGCACGTGACTGTACAGCTGCCGCCCAGTTGGGTGGGTGTGGAGCACATGACTGAAAAGCTGCCGCCCAGTTGGGTGGGTGTGGAGCACATGACTGAAAAGCTGCCGCCCAGTTGGGTGGGTGTGGAGCACATGACTGAAAAGCTGCCGCCCAGTTGGGTGGGTGTGGAGCACATGACTAAAGCTGCCGCCCAGTTGGGTGGGTGTGGAGCACATGACTGTAAAGCTGCCGCCCAGTTGGGTGGGTGTGAAGCAAGACTAGTAACTGTGACTCACCATAGATGTAAAGTGCCTTGTATAGTGACTTGTGAGCCTCTTGTTGAATCACTTGTGACACAAAAAGATTATTTATATGTTTAAATGATTGTCTATATATGTACATATATATGTAACATTAACAATTGTGTAACTAACAATACAAGATTGTGCCTTGCTAAGCTAAACGAACTCTGTGGTTCAGTTCCTGAACCCATTATGTGCCTCTGTAACCCGCTCCACCACCGCCCACGGGATGGGTATGGGGTGCATAATAAAGAAAGAAATTTAATTCACTGTGGCACCAGTGTCTTTGCTGTGGGGTGCCTGAGAACACCTGTGGTTGATGCCCCCACATTATGGGGTGAGCAGGGGGTAAAGGTTCCCCCCCCCCCCCTGGGGGTATATTACGGTATGCGAAAATAAAGTTTAGTTTTAATGCACATTTATTCTGTCCTGCCAAGTATATTAGTAGATGCTGGATCCACCGTCTTGGATCTTAGTGTGGTGAGATGGACAGCTGTCACTGGAGTAAGAGGCGTTTAGCCTATGTACTGTGGGATGAAGACGCTCCAGAAAATGATTAACAGAAAACGGAGATAGGCAGTAAGGTAAACAGTAGAGGAGTTAGAGAATATAACAACACGTAGCTCAGTAGACAAGGGCCTGGAGGTCAACGAATGAGGAAGAAGGCGCATAATAACTACAGGTGATAGAAGGGGAACATTAACAGATACAACACGAGCTAGGAAGGGTAGGGTACTCTCAGGAGAGAGCGCCAAGCCTTTCAGGAGAGAGCGCCAAGCCTTTCAGGAGAGAGCGCCAAGCCTCTCATGGAATTTATTTAATGATCGTGTGTGAGAGGCAAGACTTGCCATCCCTGAACCCATACTGGTGATGTGGGCAACCCATCCTCCGAATTGACAGTACGATTTAATACTAAGTGTAATAAGTACACTTTCTTACTGTCATAAACAGTGCATAACTGCACTTATGGGGCTGCTACATTTACCCAACTCCCTCCCCCGATTTAATTCTCCTCGTTTTCTGTTAAGACACTCAAAATTTTAGGATGAAGTTTTCAATTTCAATTTGCAATACACAAGTTTTAAATATCAGGAATTTCTTTTTCAGGTTTATTAAACAATATAGATTTTATACAAAATTTTAAAATATCCTTAATTTCTTTACAATTTATTGAAATATTTTAGTTTTGTTTTATTAATTTTATAAAACTATAATATCAATATAGCTATAGGTTAAGTACTCATTGTAATTAAGAAGCAATAAAATTATTATCTTCAAAAACTAAGACGGTTAGGTGAGGTTGTGGTTTTCTATTAAGTTTTTCAGGTAAACTCAAATATTCACAATATATTTGACAGTACGATTTAATACTAAGTGAAAATAAGTACAATTCCTAACTGCTATGAATAGTACATAATTGCACTTATTTGTCTTCTTACATTTACCACCCCATTTTTGGAGGACGGGCTGGATGTGTGACAGTTCTTTCGCTCCAGTTGTTCTCCTAGTTTGTTTATTTTGTTCGAACAATCTTCTCCATCGTATGGTACGGAGAGAAGACTACACTGGCCTGTAGTTCAGTGCTACAGACCAGTGTGCTGCAGCACTGAACTTCAGTGTGTGTGTGTGTGTGTGTGTTAACCTTGAGAATCAGTGAGCCAATGAGAGTGTAAACTTGCACGGACTTTAGATAACATTGTGGGAGGAGACGACGACGCCGCACGGCGGGTCGTACGCTGGCAGCGGTCAAGGTACGGCAGCTGGAGTGTGTTTACAGCTTCCGGCTTGGTTATGGAAGCCCATCCACCCCCCCCCCCCTCAACCACACACTTTCTCTCACTCTCCCACACATATACCATTACAGGTTAAATGTATTTAGGGAATCGGTTGTTTGGCGCGCCACGATGCTGGCTTTTTGCGGCAGTTACTCCTTGCCGCGTGATCCTGAAAAATCGCTCTGCTGTCTGCTGCTCCGGCGCGAAAAAAAAATATAAAAAAATAGGCGCCCCGCGCGCAGACGCCTCTGTGAAATCCTGACAACTTTAGCAAATGAAAACGAATAAAAACAGACGGAGATTTCTTTCTGAGCTACACTGATAGATGATCATAGGTGAGGCATGAAAAAGGGGGGATAATTCTATTCAGCTCCTTGTAAAGTCTATCTGGCATGAAATCCCCGGCCGGTACACAAGCAGGAGGAGCGGCCTCTTAAGCTGTCCGTCGCACCCACCCACAAAAAAGAAATCTTGATATATCGTCAGGGGCCGTTGGCGTATATGGCGAGCTTTGGCGACCCCTGCCACGGCCTGCCTTTCCCCATGATGTGTACCCCCCAGCCATGGCCTGCCCCCCATGGTGTACACCCCCTCAAGCAATGGCCTGCCCCATGGTGTACCCCCCAACCACGGCCTGCCTTCCCCCCCCCCCCCATGATGAATCCCCCCAGCCACGGCCTGCCTTCCCCCCCATGATGAATTCCCCCAGCCACGGCCTGCCCCCATAGTGTACCCCCGCTGCCAGGAAGTTGCCAGGACCTAGACGTTGCCATAGGGAGGGAGAAGAAATCGTTGCCATGTTTTCGAGCGTAACACGTGTGTTGTTCTCGTCCTCACAGGGAGAAGGAGGAGAACTTGGAGCGCAGGTTCGAGCTGCTGAACAGGGAGCTGCGAGCCATCCTGGCCATCGAGGGTGAGTACTCCTCTCATCACCTGTAATGACCTGTAATGACTCTCCATGCTACTATTACCATGTCTCCCCCAGGTGCACCTGTACAGGTGCTGTACGTGCCGCCTCCAGGTACACCCCCACACCTGCCACACCGGCAGGTATACAGCCTCCAACATCTACACCCACACCTAGAGCCACAGCCACACCTAGAGCCACAGCCACAACTAGAGCCACAGCTACACCTAGAGCCACAGCTACACCTAGAGCCACAGCTACACCTAGAGCCACAGCTACACCTAGAGCCACAGCCACACCTAGAGCTACACCTAGAGCCACAGCCACAACTAGAGCTACACCTAGAGCCACAGCCACACCTAGAGCCACAGCCACAACTAGAGCCACAGCCACACCTAGAGCCACAGCCACACCTAGAGCTACACCTAGAGCCACAGCTACACCTAGAGCCACAGCCACACCTAGAGCCACAGCCACACCTAGAGCCACAGCCACACCTAGAGCCACAGCCACACCTAGAGCCACAGCCACACCCAGAGCCACAGCCACACCTAGAGCCACAGCCACACCTAGAGCCACACCTACACCTAGAGCCACACCTACACCTAGAGCCACACCTACACCTAGAGCCACAGCCACACCTAGAGCCACACCCACACCTAGAGCCACAGCTACACCTAGAGCCACAGCCACACCCACACCTAGAGCCACACCCACACCTAGAGCTACAGCTACACCTAGAGCCACACCCACACCTAGAGCCTCAGCCACACCTAGAGCCACACCCACACCTAGAGCCACACCCACACCTAGAGCCACACCCACACCTAGAGCCACAGCTACACCCAGAGCCACACCCAGAGCCACACCCACACCCAGAGCCACACCCACACCTAGAGCCACAGCTACACCCAGAGCCACACCTTGAGCCACACCCACACCTAGAGCCACAGCTACAGCCAGAGCCACACCCAGAGCCACACCCACACCCAGAGCCACACCCACACCTAGAGCCACAGCTACACCCAGAGCCACACCCAGAGCCACACCCAGACCCACACCCACACCCAGAGCCACACCCAGAGCCACACCCACACCCAGAGCCACACCCACACCCAGAGCCACACCCAGAGCCACACCCACACCCAGAGCCACACCCACACCTAGAGCCACAGCTACACCCAGAGCCACACCCAGAGCCACACCCACACCCAGACCCACACCCACACCCAGAGCCACACCCAGAGCCACACCCACACCCAGAGCCACACCCAGAGCCACACCCACACCCAGAGCCACACCCACACCTAGAGCCACACCCAGAGCCACACCCACACCCAGAGCCACACCCACACCTAGAGCCACAGCTACACCCAGAGCCACACCCAGAGCCACACCCACACCCAGACCCACACCCACACCCAGAGCCACACCCAGAGCCACACCCACACCCAGAGCCACACCCACACCCAGAGCCACACCCAGAGCCACACCCACACCCAGAGCCACACCTCTCGGCCCTCTCCAAGCAACAGCTTGGATACTTATTTATGTCAGTTTATTATGTAATAATATATTCAATAGATTATTATAATCTATTATTAAATCAGCTTAATATATCAAGAGTAAGAGGAAAACGCCTGAGAGAATATAATCACCCGTGGCTTAATAGACAGTGTCAAGAGGCAAAGACATAAAGCAGGAGGGAATAGACGGAATACAGAGGTCAACGGACAGAGGAAAACAGGAATAGATGCAACAGGACTTACAACGAATATATAAATATAAGAAGAGTATCGGAAATAAATTCCGATGATATTGCTGTCAAAGCAATAACAACCATAACTGTCACCTGGTCGTGTTAGAAGGAAAATGACAGTGAACAACCAAGTGGCAAGATAATGAAAAAAATGAGGGGGGATATATAGAAAGTGACAAGGAAAATTGTGAGGTACTGAACGCCAGTTTCCATGGAGTGTTCACAACCGAGCCTGAGCAGCTCCCGGGGTTGGAAGACGGTATGACCCTAGATGAGAGAGTAACTAATATTGAGGTATCGGCAGAGGAGGTCAAGAAACTATCACTTAAACTAAAAGCTGTTTGAACCAGACAAAGTATCCCCGTGGATACTTAAAGAAGCAGCGCAGGCCCTCAGCGTGCCTCTAGCAAAGATTTGTAATGAGTCACTTAGAAAGGGAGAGTTGCCAAGCTGCTAGAAGAGGGCAAATGTAGTACCAATTTTCAAGAAAGGAGATAGGGAAGAGGCACATAACTACAGACCAGTATCACATACAAGTATCCCCTGCAAGGTACTTGAAAAAATAGTCAGGTTAAGACTTATTGCACACTTGGAGAACATTAGGTTTGTAAACAAACACCAACATGGGTTCGGAGAAGGGAAATCATGCCTTAGGAGCCTACTGGAGTTCTATGACAAAGTAACAAGAATAAGGCATGACAGAGAAGGATGGGAAGATTGTATATTTCTGGATTGCAATAAAGCCTTTGACACAGTACCTCACAAGAGTTTACTATACAAACCTGAGAGGCAGGAAGCAGTAAGCATAAATTACTAAAAGTTAATAAGGAATTACCCAACAGTCAGGAGCCAGAGAGTAACAATCAGGGGGCGAGACGTTGGACTGGTGAACAGTAACGAGTGAAGTACCTCAAGGGTCGATGTTGGGACCAATTCTGTTTCTCATGTACGTAAATGACTTGTCTACAGGAGTTGAGTCTTTCCTGTCGGGAGGGAGCCGGTCGGCCGAGCGGACAGCACACTGGACTTGTGATCCTGTGATCCTGGGTTCGATCCCAGGCGCTGGCGAGAAACAATGGGCAGAGTTTCTTTCATCCTATGTCCCTGTTACCTAGCAGTAAAATAGGTACCTGGGTGTTAGTCAGCTGTCACGGGCTGCTTCCTGGGGGTGGAGGCCTGGTCGAGGACCGGGCCGCGGGGACACTAAAGCCCCGAAATCATCTCAAGATAACCTCAAGAATCAAGTCGGGAGCCAGAGAGTAACAGTCAAGGTGCGAGAAGTCGGACTGGTGAACAGTAACGAGTGGAGTACCTCAAGGATCGATGTTGGGACCAATTCTGTTTCTCATGTACGTAAATGACTTGTCTACAGGAGTTGAGTCGTGTCGATGTTTGCAAATGATACAAAATTAATGAGAAGAGTTGTGAGATACGAGTGTGGAATTCTCCAAGTTGCTGAGTTGCAGATGACCGAATAAATGGCTACTGAAGTTCAATACACAGTGCAGTGTGATGGAAATAGCAACAGGTGGCAGAAGCTAAACTATTGATTAATGGGAGCCCATTAATGGATAGTTTAGCTTACGGATCTTTTGTCTAGTCGGGTGTAGTTGGGTATATAATCCCAAACCCTTATGTCCTGTGTATTTCCTTGTTAATGTGCTCAAACACGGAAACGTTAGGAATTTTTGTTAAATGTTCCCAGTGAAAACTTGCGCCCATATATATATATATATATATATATATATATATATATATATATATATATATATATATATATAATACACATCCACCCATCATGTACTGAGTTCAGCACGCGAGTATCAAAGATGTTTTTGTGTGTGGTATGTGCGGGCGTGCGCGAGCGTACGGGTGCGGGCCTCTGCACCTTCAGCTCTTCACCAACTAATCGGATTACCACCGGGTTGGCTTTAATGCCAGGAAAACACACTACCCGCCGCCGCCACCACCGTCGCCGCCGCCGCCACCACCGTCGCCGCCGCCACCACCGTCGCCGCCGCCGCCACCACCGTCGCCGCCGCCGCCACCACCGTCGCCGCCGCCACCACCGCCGCCGCCGCCACCACCGTCGCCGCCGCCACCACCGTCGCCGCCGCCGCCACCACCGTCGCCGCCGCCACCACCGTCGCCGCCGCCACCACCGTCGCCGCCGTCGCCGCCGTCGCCGCCGTTCCCGCTCTTTACCATCGTAGTTACCACCGCTGCTGCCGGAGTCTCCACCACCACCCGCCACCCCGCCATCACCACAATCACCACCACCCCGCCATCACCACAATCACCGCCACCCCGCCATCACCACAATCACCGCCACCCCGCCATCACCACAATCACCGCCACCCCGCCATCACCACAATCACCGCCACCCCGCCATCACCACAATCACAGCTATAGCCCGGTTACACTAATATCACACAAATAAACGTGAAACAAGTTACTAGGCGTCAACTCCCCAGTTCGATGGAGAACAGTGAACATCGCGACCCAGATCAACGTGGGTTTAGAGCAGGAAGATCAGTCTTTGGCAGTTACTCCTCCACTAGGACCCCTGAAGCATTAGAACAACAACAAAATGTAGATATTTTGTATACAGGGATTGTGGCAAAGGGCAGGTGATAAGTGCCACCATGGCACTTGGGCACCATAACATGAGGTCCACCGGGATAACGGGTATAGTAGGGTAATGAATATTCAATTTGCTGTCAAACAGAATGCAAAGAGTAACTGTCAATCAAACACAATCAACTGTCAATCAAACACAATCAAGTCCAAGCACATTAACAAGCGCTGTACTCGTGGACTCTGTTCTTACGCCACTTACCTCATTGGTATATCAGATGTAGACAAAAATACAAGGCACAGTTTCCCTTGCAGACGATACAAAAATCAACATGCATATTATGTCTTTTGGAAGTGTGAGAAAACTGCAAGCCGATGTAAATAGTCTTCGACTGGGCAAGAGAAAATAACATGATGTATTTTATACCGGAAGAAAAAGGGAACTCGTTAAAAAATTACACCAGTTCCTGTAGAAATTCCCGGACCAGCAGAGTTGTAATAAATATGTGGGCCTGCGAGCTGCTGTAAGCGACAGTCTGTTGGATCCAGTTAACACAAGGCTGGCCCCAAGGCAGGTCTTGGGGAGCAACAGTACTCCCGGAACCTACTCCAGGTGTACTCTACAACCCCTTGCTATAATCTTTTAACTTCTCACGAGAAACGGGCGAAC